ATGTATTGCGTTATGACGTTTTGTGAAAAATCTGTACGTGATGGAGAAAATTGGACATCATTTTCGGATTCAGTGTACATGAGTTAATGCAGAACATGTAAAATTTTAAGACATAAAAACATTGCAGGCTTGTGTTATCAGCTAAAAGATGTAACTGCTGTTTGAATGTTATAATTCTACAAAGTATCTTTACTTGGGTCACAATTAATGTAAAGCTGTTATTCAAAAGTTTATTATATCAGTGTTACAACAAATGGAAGTGTATGAAAGATGTACAGAGTTTATTCTCAAATATGAGTAAATATCTTTCATACTAAGATATACTATCGAAATGTGAAAAAAAATGAGTGTCCGAGAGGTTCAAACACTATTCAACAGTAGAAACTATGGTACTTAAAAATCTATAACCTCAATGACATAACTGAGTTTATGAGAATTGAAACTATGGTGACGTCTCGGAATTTGGTGAGAAGAAGCATACCTCATTCTACAATGTATACTACCACAAGGAAAAGAAATCAAACCCGACTGCTAAATCTAAATATAAAGCTGGTAACCTCGAACACTCTCTGGATAAGATAGAATAAGATGGTGTGTATGTAAACAAAAGTTTACCTCAAACTTACCCAAATATTACCAAGTTTATAGAGATATAGTTTAGTTTATTTTTAATAGTAATCTGTTTTATTCATATATTTTTTTACTTACACAGCGAACAAGACATCAGTCGAAGAACTAAGAACTATTTTTAATAGTAATCTGTTTTATTCATATATTTTTTACTTACACAGCGAACAAGACATCAGTCGAAGAACTAAGAATGCTGGGAATTTCCTTGAGCTACCCCTTTAGTAATCTTGACATCAATACACGCACTAAGTTTATTGAAGCCGCCATAAAATCGGATATAAATGGAATTCTTGACTTGAAACGTAACTGGAACCTCGATCACTCCAATTCATTAGTTGGTTTTAAGAGCTCTGTTCGCCTTAAAGATATGATAATTGAACACAGTATCAGGTAAGATTAGTTTGTTCTTACAAAAAGTGAATAATAACATAAGCAAAGAAGAAGAGAATAACACTAAGAAGGTAGAACTTCTGTATTCTGTAGAACTAGCATCTCAAGATCATTTGTAGTTTTATGGGTATAATACCTTCTGTAGAACTGGCACCTCAAGATCACTTGTAGTTTTATGGGTATAATACCTTCTGTAGAACTAGCATCTCAAGATCATTTGTAGTTTTATGGGTATAATACATTCTGTAGAACTGGCACCTCAAGATCATTTGTAGTTTTATGGGTATAATACCTTCTGTAGAACTAGCATCTTACAAGTGATCTTGAGGTGATAGTTCTACAGAATGTATTATACCCATAAAACTACAAATGATCTTGCTTTTAACATGTAATAAAGATTTAATGTTCTACTTTCAAAATATGAAAACCTTTTTTCACATATTTACTTTTTCAAAATTATTTCGGCCATGAGGTGCTAGTTCTACAGAATGTATTATACCCATAAAACTACAAGTGATCTTGAGTTGCTAGTTCTACAGAATGTATTATACCCATAAAACTACAAATGATCTTGAGATGCTAGTTCTACAGAATGTATTATACCCATAAAACTACAAGTGATCTTGAGGTGATAGCTCTACAGAATGTATTATACCCATAAAACACTTTCATTTATTCCACAGCTGTGAAGAATTCTTTATTGAATGTGCGGTTGCTCTCAACATCAGTAATTGCTGTTCTTTTTTCCGAACTGTGATTACACCATTAGGAGTGTGTTTCACCTTTTCTCCCAACAAAACTTTACAAAGAAAAATTACTAAAGTCAGCACCATCGCCGTTAATTTTCGCCTACCACAAAATTCAGGTATTTTGAAATAAACCGGCTATGATATTATAAAAGAAGAAGTAAAATATCCTTCTTAAAACTTAGCATTGACTGAAAATGTCGAAATTCTTCATAGAGATTTCAAAGTACTTGATGTTTATATAGAAATATTGCGACCATATAGATTAAGATGGTTTTTTCACTGAACAGGAGTACGAAATGTGGAGTTTTGGTTGTTCTATAGTTTTGATCAGGTATTTATGTTTAATTTTACCAGATGCGTTCCTGTAATTTTTACAGTCATGTGAACTATTACCACATACGGGTCACGGGTCAAACGCCATATCATCGCGTTTGTTGACTCGCATTCAAATTTTTATTGAACTACTATTTTATGAATTCACGTCATTGACTTTGGTATCAAACTGTAGATTATAATTTGAATGTTAGTATTATACATTATTTAATTTCTTAATTTAAAAAAAATATTAAGAAAAACACACACCTAAACATCGATTTTTGTGTGTCTCGTGGTATGTTGAATGAAGAACTGGTTCAAGTTAAATGTTTGTGATGTCAAAATACAAATTCTATAGTTTTGTACGAAACAGGAACTCCAATTAACGATATTGACAAGTTAGAATATAAAACAAGAACCTCCTGTCTTCTCTATTTGCTGAGATATCGCTCATGTATTGAATAAACGCAGTGGCCCCGCTCACCTCTTTCCATTTTTTGGAAACGCTCCCTTATATATATATATACTTCTGTATATGACACGTGACTAACCAATCGAAAGCTCAGAATGTCCCCCTAATGACTTTCTCAGACATTTTCAAATATAATAGCGTTATCTCTTTCTTTCAATACAAGATGACATAAAGGTAATTCGAGTCTTTAGTCAAATTTTTTAGACACAGATACAACTTAGTTACTAAAATCGATAAATTATAATTGAGTTCTGTGGTATCGATATAGTAATTTATGACTTTTTGGTTATTCAAATGTATATATAAAACCTAAAAAAAATATTTTATTTCACATCCTCCACATACGAAATTTCTTAAAGCTTAGCAACCTACTTCAAGCAGCAACCGAGTACAAAGGTCGGAACTAGAAAAGATAATTGTTTGCTTTACTTCTTTAAAAAGCTATCTGTGCACTGCCCACCACAGGTATCGAAACCCAGTTTTTAGCGTTGTAAGTCCGCAGACATACCGCTGTACCACTGGATGTCTATTATATACGTATATAGATTATTACTATTTACAAATAACTTCTTAAGCTTAATTTTCTTAAAACATAAAACAGTAAATGTGCATAACTTCAAAACAAACAAACAATATATAATAATTGAAATTTGACTGTATTTTACAAAATACTAATCCACTAAAACACAGCCAAGACAGGTCACTTTATAGACTCTAAAGATCAGTTTTATATTATTGGATACGGTAACATGAGTGCACGTGCACTGCGTCATTGTAACTTATGTATTGTTAGCCAGGCACGGCAGAAAGACCAATATAATAAAAATAATAAATATATATAAATGGATAATGTTATGAGATTTAATCTATTTAGTGTAAACATTTATATTTTCGTGTTATAAGTTGTTGTCACTCTAGAACGAAAAAGGCATAATATAGTTATTTCCTAACTTTTTATGGTGGTTACGAGATCGGTCAAATCGACCAAACCCGTACAAACATTCGTTAGTGAAAATAACAGATAAAATATAAAGTTTTTTCTTAAGAAACATTTAATAATTATCTGGGCATTATAAGGATTTTGCAAGTGAAATATGAAAATGAAAATTACTTTACATGTTGAATAGGCAACATGCGAAAAGAAAAAGGTATGTTAAAAACGTTTAGAAAAAATCAAAATTAAATATCTTAGTTTTCAAGAAATGCATTCTTATAGGACCTTTCATCTCAAATTTAAAATAACTTCATCCACTAGTTTCATTTTTGTAAAGAGCCTTCACAAGAGTTGCACACCCACTTACATTCGTAGTCAAAGGGTGAATTAACTAAGTTATCTTTTAAAATGAAATTCCTACAGTTCCTCTGTCTGAAGAAGAAGGAGTAACTGTTGCTATCCATGACCCTAGGGAATTTCCTTCCGAGTCGATCTTAAAGAGTAATGTTGGGATCTGGCCAGGGATGAATGTGAGAATCGCGTTTCAACTTACTCAGGTAAGAAATATGTAACAAAATCTGCTGTGTGAATAGTTACCGCCATTCATGACTGTTAGAATCCGCCATAAAAAGTAAAGTATAATATTATGATCATACCTGGAGTTGCTGTGATCATATTGCTTCTAGTTACATAAGTAAGACACAGAATTACTAAATATATAACCCAGAACTTATGGTTCTCGGCCAAGAGGGATGATTGCTGCAATTCAAAACGCTCGCTATTCTGTTTTCAGTTTTAGGTGTTTATGATTATTTACATTTAAACTTGTATTCTGAATGTTACAACAAAAACTAAACGTTTGCTTAAGAAACTGGTCACAAATTCTGTTTAATATTATTTTGAAAACTGGATTCTAGTTTCGTAAAATGTAGTTAACTTTTATAAGTTTCGCTCTTATTTTAAGTTTTAATGATCAAAATCAATATAAAATGTGTCACAATATAAAAATCTCACGTCTGAGTTTTATCTTTATACTATAAATGTACGTTCTACTTTCACCGAAAATGACTTACATAATTGTACTTTCACTTGTAAACCAACTGTACGCCTTTTTGTGAGTGATAGTTTAAAAAATAATTACCTTTCTATTCCAGTAAAAATGTAAAGAGATAATCAAAAGGAAAGATTAAATGCTTAAAGTCATAGCAGTACTTTCAAAATCGCATTAGAAAAGAGTAATTACTGTGGTAATATCTTTCTAGGTGTTTATTTGTTTATCGACAAAACGTACTTTAAGCCTAAAAACTAATTTCATGAGCGTGAATACTTTTAGATACATGGCCTGAAGTATAATTAAAGTTCGGAATAATGAAAATAATGTTTCAAACTCCTTATTGTTAATCAACCTACTACGGGTTTTCAACTAAAGAAAAAGTACAATATTAGCATTTGAACTAAACTTTGCTTTTTTGTACATTGCTGTTGACTGATCGTTCTCAATTTCAGAACTCTTTGAAAGATAAAGTTTAAAACCACATAAAATGTCTTAGGTTAAATGCTTTTTTCAAACGGTACACCAAATTTGATGAAGCTTTTCAGACTAGAAATTTCTATGTCAAAACTCAAATAAAATTAACAATACCTTTAAAACTTCCTTCTTATCTGGATATGTAGGATTTAACGTTTTACATCTTATGGCGTAACGAATTTACAATGTGTGTATATATATATATATATTTATATACACGACCAAATATGTTTTAATAGAAATATAAAAATGAAATACAAACTTTGTTATCATTACAGTTTATATTATCTTGCAGACTGACTACACTTCGAAACTTTCTCTGTTGCCTTCCAACATCTTTAGGAGATGCAACAACGAAATTTGGTCAGTTATCGGAAAACCTTACACTAAGAACAACTGTGAGATAGAAAACACTATTCTTCTTGTCCAAGAATTCTGTAACTGTACTCTCGTAATTACCCCCTCTGTTGGTGAGTCCAAATTAGAATTTATTAGCCATCTTCACTTTAGGAAATGATAAATATTTTATTCTCTAATTTGTGAGGTATGTTGTTGATAGAAAGTTTAAGAAGGTTTGATCCATAAGGAACTGAAAAGAAAGTTAACAATTAGTATAAATCGTTCTTATGTCATGTATTATATATTGATGTCTCATCACGGAACACCGGCTATGGCTATTCTTTTGTGTTTATTTTTAATGTACTGATAATTAATTTAAAAAGTATATAATGGATTTTAATAAAATACGTTCAAGTTCAAGTACGAGCCAAGTTCATTGAGCCTGAAAGGGTCACCTGTTTTAACCACTCAAACCATTGTACAGTAGTGTGCTGTCTGTCATTCAGTCAGTAGACACTAAAATGACGTCACATAAGGGACGCTTAACGTTGCAATTTGTACTGTTGTGATGTCAATAAAACATGCACATGCCATGTATCACAATAATAATTATGCCCCCTGAAGGCTAGCTACAACACAGTATGACATATGAACTTCAAAAGCAAAAAATTAAAATATTTGTTATTCTTAATTTTGATTTTGTTTGCTCTTAAAACAGAACACTTTCAAGCTGTATTTGTATCCAGTCTGCTCCAAATCTCTCAGTCCCCTTATTTTCTCGTTACTTGGCGATTTGGGTACTTAACTGTTTTTACCCAGAATTTGAAGTCTTGACAATTTTTCTGTCTAATTGTTTTCGTAAATTTGTTATTTGTAATTTAATTGGCTATTAGTCGTTTTTATTTTTATGTGGTGTGATATCAGGGCACTATTTAATTTTTTTCTCCATAATTGTAAGCTAGCTAACATCTTTTTAAAATCTTTATGGTTTAAACTTTGTTTGCTATTTCTTATTTTCCATTTATTTGAAGTCTGGTTTCAGTGTTTTGTATGTTTTTAAATCTACAAACTGACTTTCATTTGCCACCAGAAACCCACTCAGTGGTTCAACAGTAAGTCTGTAGGCGTACAATGCCAAGAATTGGATTTCGATACCTATGGTGGTCTTTGCGCTTAACAACAAGAAACCAACCTACCAAGCCATCAGAAAAAAATTAGTTACTTTTTAATAGTTTGTAATCTGGTTACTAGGTGTTATAGGTGATTTAAACCTGTCTGCTGCTATTTGTTTACAAGTTGTTTTCGTTTTTTCTCAAAATATTTCACCTATAACTGCCATATATTGTTTATATAACAACAAATAATAATTTTTTTTTTTTGCAATTTGGTATCTAACAACAAATACTTTTCGTTGTTATACTCTGGTTAATAAAGTTTTATTGTGGCTTTAAATCTGACTACCAATTATTTACATTTTATACTTTAAAATGTCACTGTTTATTGCTTATATTCTAATTACTAATTATTTTTCTGTAGTTTGAAATCAGGAGAAAATATCTTCCATCATAGCTTTCTACTGATATAGTAAGCGAGGAAAACTTATTAATTGAAAACTAACTCGAAACTTGTGTAAGAATGTAATACATCCGTCTTACACCTTTACTCATATCACAATAGATCATACAGAAAACTGATTGGAGTCATTCATAACATTTTGCAAAACGTTATTTAAATAATAAAGAAATATATATATATTTCATTCTTTTATGCAGTGTCTAAGAGCATTAAAGGCGAGATTCCTTGGCTCTCATTTAGATATATATTATAATAAGTTTCTTATTATGAAAGGTATTTAATAAAAAACAGAAAAACACAAGGAAATATCCAAACTGTTTCCTTTTTTTCGTGTGAAGAAAAATTAGTTAGTATATAATCAAAACGCGAAATTCATAGAATCTTCAACATTTGCGTATATTTAATTTACATCTTTGCCTACTGTATTATGTTTTCAATTTGCGTTTGGTGATTATTATGTTGGTAATTTAGGTGGTGAAATACGTTACTGTGGATCAGAAGATATCATCACTTGTTTTATACCCAAGGCTAGGGATATATATGGTAAGATATGTATTTGATATACATCTAATGTTTGTATGAAATACAATGTATATGAATATTAGTAAATGGTTTGGAAATATCCATCGAAAATTTCTGTCCCAAATTAAAAGTAATTCGCGAAACTGTTAGTGTTGTGTTCTCCAGTACATTTATTTCCCTTTAAGAATAATCGAACAGGAGACTCATAGTAACAGAAAATGTATTATGGAGCAAAAATCTGAATTATCTGATCTGCACCGAGGTTGAAGAAAAAAAAAGTTAAACACAGTGAAAACATTTTTACTTGCATAAACAACAATCAAAGTTTAAAAACATGGATCTATTTGGCGTATTTACTGGTGATCAAGTCAGGAATTTAAATCGAATCGCTCTCTACGTTAAAATAATTTAACCTGTTAAATCTTAAATCTATCAAACTTTAGGTCTTTCTGTTCTAGGCTGAGAAATTTTCTTATTATTTACATAAGAAAAACAATGCCATTATTCTCAGGACACAGATGCTATGCACGTGATGATAGTGACTCTTACCACAAAATGAGGGATGTTTCCTTTAGGCAACATCGACTTACCAGTGGAAAATATCATTGTTTATTTCTATGCAGTATGCTCCACTTTACAGGAATCGTTCCCACGAGAAAATGCACGTGACAACCAAGTTGAATGACCCACTTCAGTGGTTAATTAGTTCCATGAGAACTAAGTAGCTTCCTTGAAACAATTTCTATATCAATTCACTAAACCCATAATTTTACGTGTGTTTTGCTGGAATTACTTTCAAGATTTCCTAATAATTGCCACCATACCTTTAAAAATTTCAGTTTTCTTAATTTTGTTTTTCCCTTAAACATCAAGGATACTCAAATGAACCATTGTTAAATAAATAGTATCAAATCTCTCCCTGTTGAACGTTTGGAGATAGAACGGTTTGTAGAGAGACTGGTGGTAGCGAAGTAGTCTCAAATGCTAGGTCGTTTGTTGATGGCCATTGATGTCATCATAACAAAAAACTTCAACAGCTCTTAGTAGGTAAAAGTAGTCAAGTTCAAATACGTCGACTGTCTCTGAGCAGGCGTTTTCTTTGCAACTTGTGTTTTGTTGTAGTCGTTGATAGCAGTGATGAGTGTATTACTTACATCTCCTGTAAACAGAGCTCTGAAACAGTTAAAAGGCGTAGAGTTATCATTGATTTCGGCGTGTACACGAGAATCACGCATCTTCTTCTGCAAAACTCAAAGTCATTACTTATGGCTGACCTACATTATCTGTGGCTCTGGTAGTGGACGTAGATCTAGAAGGTGGATCAGATCTAGCTGGGGCTCACTTTCGTGGCCTCTTTGTATCACTAGGTCCTGGTTGGGATCAGCTGATTGAGAATCACTGGAACTGTGTCTCGACTAGAGTCAAATTCAAGATCAGAATCACCATCATTTCCACTCCTTCCTTCATCTAACTAATTGAACATGCTCATTGCTTACTCTTGATATAAACAAATTGTTAGACTTCACAAGAAAACACTGAAAAAAATCGGTCTCAAACACACCTTGATGATCCGAAATTGGTTTCAAAACAAACGACAATACTTCACAGAACTTCTGGTCTATTTATACAAAGTGGATTACAGCATGGTTTGGATTAGTTTTCAGCCAAAAAGACATAAATATTATCGGACAATGTCACCATTCGATGGGTAAATCGGGATTTTCAGCCGGACGCTGTTTAAGGAGTTAAAACCACATGTACAATATGTGGAGAACTGTTAAAACATTTAACATTAAATAAAAGGATAGAAACACGTATACACATTAGTAATAAACTATAAACGAGTCAAAAGGACCAAGAAGTATGGATAACTTTCAATAATTATGTGTGTGTTTTCTTATAGCAGGCTATCTGACTTACCGCTGTCCTACCAAGGGACAATAATATTGTGTGTGTTGTCTTATAGCAGGCTATCTGACTTACCGCTGTTCTACCGAGGGACAATAATATTGTGTGTGTTTTCTTATAGCAGGCTATCTGACTTACCGCTGTCCCACCGGGGGACAATAATATTGTGTGTGTTGTCTTATAGCAGGCTATCTGACTTACCACTGTCCCACTGGGGGACAATATTATTGTCTGTGTTTTCTTATAGTAAAGCCACATCAGGCGATCTGCTGTGCCTATCGAGATGAATCGAACCCCTGATTTTAGCATTGTAAGTTCGAAGACTTACTGCTGTTACACCGGTGGACAATAATATTGTGTGTGTGTTTTTTCTTATAGTAAAGCCACATCAGGCTATCTGCTGTGTCCATCGAGATGAATCGAACCCCTCATTTTAGCATTGTAAGTCTGAAGACTTACCGCTGTCCCACCGGGGGACAATAATATTGTGAGACCTTGCTGTCAAGATTTGTTCAAAAATAGCAATCATTTTAAACTGTTTGTGGTCTCTTTGAAATCTATTGTCCTTTACAGAAGACATCCTATTAAATAAGTAAGATCTTTTATATATCTTACTTTTTAAGCACAAAGCTACACAATGGTCTATCTGCCTGCACTGTGCCAACTGCAGGGACTGGGCCTCGAATTTTAGCGTTTTACTTCTTGAAGCTTACTGTTGAGCCAGTGGGGTCCTATTGTCAGAAGGTGAAATAATGACCATTTCTTGACATACTTCAATCAATAACTTTAAATTTTTTCTCATGAAATTTATCAACTTTATTCTTGGTTGTATAATCATAAGTAGATTACTAAAATATATTGGTAAACACATAAGCGTAGTATTCAGATAAATAACCGAAAGGTGTAATAAGACTTAGTAAAATGTTTATTTATAGCTATCTCCATTCAAAACTACTTACAAAAACGTGATCTAATGCTTAAACTTTTCCGACTAAAAAACAATAAATTTTAATATAGGACTAGGACTAAAATTACTTTTGGTCTCTTGCAAACTTGGCTCGATTATAATTTCATATTCAAAATAGTAGCTTCATGAGATAAAAATTCAAAATATTAGAAATATGAAATTCAAAAAAGGTCAAAGAATGTCTTGAAATTTATGTTTTTAAATAAATGTTTTTGTTTGTTTAGCACAAAGATACATCTCGGTGCTGTACCCAACGCGAGTATCGAATCCAAGTTTTTAGAGATTTGAACCCCTCGCTGAGCCACTGGCAGTATAAATATATGCAGGCTTAAGTTATCATTATATCACAAAGTTACCGTTGAGTTAGAAAGTAAACAAAATATATCTTGCGGTGGTTATGTGCAGCAAATAATTGTTTGTAAACAAACCATACGATATAAGAGAAATATTGTTGTTTAAGACTCATAACGTAGATAAATTAATATGTATAATTCTATAATTTTACATAGAAAAGGAATATGTTGCAAAGAATGTAGGCTTAACTTGAAATGAGAGAATAAAGGAAAGATTTACAAGGATCACAATGTTTAATAAAGCAGAATGTGAAAAGAAGACTCAGTTGTTTTAGCATACAGAAATTATAACAATTGTTGCCCTTTTTAGTGTATTTAATATAAAATAGACTTGCATAGTTAAAAATACATTTTAATTTCTGTTGTAAATTATTAGATTTACTTCTAAGTGATTGTTTGTCGCACATGTATAACAAAAACAGAACAGAATAAAGCTTTAGTGAATTACATGCATTATTTAAAATAATACACACATAAACCTTTAGGGTTTCACATGGCACCAAACATCTTGTGAATTATTCTAGTATTTCTTCACTTTTAATTTAAAAAGCAATAACAAAACTGAAAATTATGTTTAATGTCATCGTAGCAGATACACAATTTAATTTTTATATGATTGATTATATTCTTATCTGTTCATCATATAAGGAATGATAACTTTGCAGCTAATATACACTGTACACCAGCATGTAAAGAATATACGTATGTGAAAAGGACTTCATACACCAGACTACAATCTTCCAACAGTGTTACTAGGTAAGTGTAAAAAAAACAACATTTGTTCTGATGTATAGACGTTAGAAAAGACAGTTCTCATACAAAAATGTAAGTTCTTTCTACATCACTTAAGTGTTTATAAATAAATAAATATTTACATATTAAATAACAAATGTTCAACATAGATTATATTCAAAAAATATAGTTATTTTTATGCCATTAATTATTCAAAAATATTAATTTCTTTCTTCGTAATTAAGTACAATCACAATTGTATGTCTGTTTGATGATACACACTCATATGTCTGTTTGATGATACACACTCATATGTCTGTTTGATATCTGGTGCATGTATATCTCTCTAATGTTTACTGTTACATACCTATTAAATGATAATTATGGGATTTACCAGAAATATACCAATACCATTAAACACGACATAACAATTACTAGAAATTCACTAGTAACCAATAAATTCAGGTTAACGGTTGCGACACAAATGACCGATAGATATCAAACATATAAGAGAAGTCATCAAAAAGACCCATAATTACTATGTAAGAGATATGTAGCAACAAATAACAGAGAGAGATATACATATAGCAGACACATATCAACAATAATAAAAAAATCCAGAGAGCACCGCGCACGCAAGTTTAGATTCAATCAAAATGTGAGTAAATAGCTTCTATGAATGTTACTTCACATAATATTTACATTCAGTGGAGTTTTAAAACGAACCTCTTTATAACACCTCTACTATAGTAAACGCGGAACCTGATCAAATGTATTGCCGGACTCTCCTTTTTCCAGAGTAACACGTGTTAATTTTTTAATTCTACTCCAAGCATTTTATTTGTCCTCATATTTTCACTGACACGTGTTTTAGTATCGAGACTAATATCAATTAAATATTTTGTAGCTTTTGGTTGAGACTATGTCCGGTCCAAGGAGCGCGGGGGCGTCGCTTTTGAAAGGGCAAAACTTCAATACAACCGCAATGTTGATCAAAGTGCATGCGTCTTCCGGAATCTTCAACTCAAAGATAAATTATCTCGCTGCCTTCAAACAAAAAACAAGCCTTTCAACTTAAGAGATCACGGGCTTAGAGACGACTAAATACTTCATTACGAGCAAGAGTTGCTGTGTTTTATTCACATGTAGTCTAATACAGCTAGAAGACAAAAAAGTCAAGGATGCTGAATCGTACATAATATTATGTATATCGACAGCAAACAAGCATTTAACGGACGGAAAGTTACACCGGTAACTTATCAAACATATAGCAACAATTATCATTCGTTGGTCAGCAATTATCACACATATCCAAGTATCATAACTGTCAATAACCATTAAACACACACTTATTAAATAAGGACAATTTCACGTGATTAAAGATTTCTTCTAGCAGTAGTAATGTGAAATATAAAAAAGTTATTTTGAAAAATGAATACTTTACTCATACTAGTACAAATAAATCATCATCAAAAAATGTTTCATAGAGTCAACAAAAGACAGATAAATTTGCCATTGGTGGACTTGTCAATCAGGAGTCATAAGTCTCGGTTTTGTTTTATTAGCCTAAATACATATAACATTCCTTCAAATCTATGTGTGTTAACCAAAAGCAAATGAATGAAATGTCTGAACGCTCTGGCTGTGCTGGCTATCGAATCACACCTGGATTATGATAACGTTATCGACAAGTTCGCCGCGTATATGTTCTTCTCAGTCAAACCGTAATTGTTTCTGTTGCCGTTAAGTTGTACCAGAAGTACTTATTACTCGTTATCATTTTCTACTGATATACATTCCGTGACTTGTTAACGTCTTCCGTTGCCGTTAAGTTGTACCTGAAGTACTTATTACTCGGTATCGTTTTCTATTAATATATATTCTGTGACTTGTTAACGCCTGTTTCATTTTATTTCAATGGGTGTATCAAGCATATTGTGTCTAATCGTTATATTCCAAACTTCATACTGACTTTCTTTCTAATTCAAGTTGAGTATGGTAAAAAACTATTTCTTCTTTGCTAGTCCTGTTTCAGTTGAGTAAAAATGTTTCGTTAATATATATAAACATTTTTACTTATTTTTGCTGGCTCCCTCTTGTCTAGTCCAGTTGGGTGACATTCCTTTCTAACTATATAAAGTTTACATCTTCAACAATAAATAAAGGAAAAAAAAAGTAAAGTTTCAAGCACATAAAGCTTTAGCTAATAGAGGTTGTTATTTCAGTTACATGCTCACTCAGTTGCCATAGTTTAAAAGTCTAAAAACGGTAAGTAGTTTGACCGTTCTTAGAAATATAATATTTTAGTAAAGACTCATTACAAGTGAGTATATTACTATTAAACAGGCATAATGTTCTAGAACTTATCGGTCAAGATCCTTATTTGTTGCTCTCTTTTTTACCATTAATTACATAGTTTTGGAATTTCTAGTAGAGGCCGGCTGTCCCTCACATCACTTAATGCATTGCATATTTTGTTTGATGAATATTTAAGTTTGTGGTATTAGATATTATTATCTAAATATATCAAACCTAATGATTTTCTTTTAATTATATTTCAGGTCAGAAGCTATGAATATAGAATTGATGTTTAAAGATTACTCCTACATTCAAGCTAAATACAACATCAATAGCATAACTGATGCAATGAGTAAGTAGAACTTGTAATAAAATCTCATGCTTGTGTGTTGTTTGAGCAAACAAAAAGTAAATTTAATGAACGTAAGAATTCGGACTACTAGAGACTTATATCTAATGTACATATTTACAATGACTTTGCAGTCATTCATACCAAATAACATTGATTATGGATCGCTGTTTTTGCTAGAGCCAGCAAAGAAGAAGAAGAGAAAGGTAACAAATTATGCCTCAAGTACTTACATTAAGGTTTTGGTTGTCAGGTATCAATCACTGCTGTTAAAGCCATTTAAGCCTAATTATTAGTTATTCACTAATTTATTGTTATTGATATTATATATTAGTCAACAATTAGTTTATATTTCATGTTCCAGAAGAGTCTTCAGAAGCCACAATACAGTACAATTATAGTGCATACCAAACCACCCACAGGCTCCATGGAGTGTAAAAGCACAATTTACAACATCCCTTGTGATAATGAACTCAGGTATCTTAAAGAAACAAAAATATCAACAAATTTCAGAATTATACACTACAGTAGACACGTATGTCTCCATAATACTAATCAATCTCGAATAGTCTATTGTATCAGAGAAGATCATACAATAAATCACAATAACGTGGGATATGAACCACACACACCTAATAACACATTCAGTCAACTTAGCATAGATGTTTAACAAAGCCTGAATAGACCGCTTGAAATAATTCAAGTAGTTTATTGATTCAAATCACAAAAGAGTGAGAGCCCAGACAACAAAATTCTGAATCTTCCAGGAAGAAGATCCAGAATTAAATCTCAACTTGGCTTGGCATGACCAGGTGGTTAGGGCGTTTGACTCGTAATCTGAGGGTCGTTCGTTCGAATCCTCGTCCCCCAAACATGCTCGTCCTTTCAGTATTTGCTGATTAGCTTGGATGATCTAGTACTTGATGCCATGAAACACCTGGAACTCGATCAATCCTGCAGCTGAGATGCCATTTTAACAGAGCAGTGTTATCACTTTGACCCCATAGAAAATGGAGTCATCTACTGGGCAGCATTTAAGGCTTGTAAATGTGATATTTATAAAACTCAGCTGAGTACGTCAATGTAGTATGATGCTTACACAGCATATTCCAGCTTACTGAGAAGTATTCTTGTTGATTAATTCATACAGGGACTTCCCAGCAAGTCTAAATGACACCACTTGAGCATTAAAGAAATACTATCTATAAATGAAGCTGTAACTTCAAGCAAGTTGCCAGAGCAAAGAAAACCTGCATTAACTTCACCAGAGCTGACTGAATTTGTTAATCCTGTATCATAATTGTCAAAACAGATGGTGTCTTAATTTCTTTTTTACTTTTAATAGATGGTCCCACAGAGATAATGTGGTGATTCTATACAGACTGAATGTGGCCAGCCAAGTACTAGAGAGTATTCTGAGTCTGTTGCTTCAATTGTGCCAATAATGTAAATGCAAATATATCATGATATACAGACAGTGTTTGTGATAACTGTGTCCCTGCACAGTGATTCACTAAACAGACCAAAGAGAAGACAACAGGGTCAAGGCTGCGAATATTGCTAGGTACACTGGTTTAATGTTCCAAGCCCCAAATCAGATCCGGCCACTGATCTGAAAGAGAAGAAACGTCTGTATGTTCATTCAGTCGTGATGATTGGTCCAACATCTATAGATTCAAGCCTGGATGTGAGTAAAGTTTTTAGTTGATACAGAATCAGAAGCATGTGCCTGGGAAGGTACATGGATGTGAAGTTTAATTTTAGTTTAAACTAGACCACACGTGACCCGTTGGGTCACCCTCTATTCAGAGGTTATGAAGAATTCAAGCTAATTTCAGTATTGCACCGAAATGAAGGTTTATTTTGAGATAATTTAATTAAATATTTCAATCCATTCGTGTTTCTCATAATTCAAGAAAAGATATTTGATTGTTGATCGGGAGTAAAAGGAAAGACCATTTTATTTTTCCAAAAGTGAAGTCAGAGTTTTCAGGTATTGTGATGAACTAACCTTATTCACAGTTGATTCAAAATGCCTGAAAATAAGAAATAACAGATAATAGTAATGTTATTCATGGTTTACTAGAATGTAATTGCTATCAAAAATCCATAAAAAGCTATTTCAGAAAAACATTTCATACTTACTTGTTTAAATTACTGCAGGAAACAGCAAAACTTGATAACTGATACACTACGAAATTCACTAAATGAAAAATCTTTCTCACTGTCTCGCAGCAAATGATCTTTTGACTGAGAAAATTTTCACATTTCTTCACGTACCATGATCAAAGCACATTATTGAGAAATTCTTCAAGATCTTGTTTTTGTTATCTTACGCTTTCTAATGAATATGGGAACATTGACAGGGAAATAGATTTGAACGAAAAAGGTTCGTAAAGAGCGCGAACGGTAGTGTGATGTAAAATTACTCATGCTAGAAATTTTCATAAAAGTGACCCGAAAAACGGAGCTAAC